CTCCTTCGATTTATGCGACGGAGGGAACATAAGTAATATAAGTCTATCTTTGGTTAGATGAAGTAGTATCATTGGCTATATTTTTAATAGAAAATATCTTTCATTACTAAAGTTAAAATGTTACTTAAAGTCATCTATAGCATACAAAATTAAAAAATGTTATATAAAGATTGGAAACTCAAAAAAATTAAAAAAAGAATCACACATAATACAAATAGATATGAACTAACTTCATTATTGTGACATATTTTTTCTAATAAATTTGAAGATATACAATTTCAAGTAATACACCCAAACCAGTTATTAACGAACATACGTTTAAAATAGTCAAAAAATATTTCAAAAATATCATCTACACATAAACATTTGTAATAAAAGTTCAAACAAGATTAAACAACATGCCGCGCGTATGCGCGGGTGTCGAGGAGTGATCCTCTCTAGCGGGAGATCGTGGGATCCCCCTTTCGTGAGTTCGGCCGAGGGAAGAGGCTCGCTTAAGGAGATCGTGTATCCACCCTGAATGCTATTGAATCGCACGGGAGCGCCAAGATTATACAGGTTCGGGCCGCTATGAAGCGTAATACCCTACTCCTGTGTGTGGGATTATGGATGAGTGTTACAAGGGTCTCTCCCCTCCGGAGAGCTCACCTGCTTTCTCTTTTTAGAGTTCAGGTCTATTGGGTATCGTCCCTTTTCTCGGTGGGCAAGGTCCTCCTTTTATAGTTCAAGGGGATACCACATGCACCGCCTCTACCTACTCTTCTACGAAAGGGGGACCCACTCTACCTTGACCGGACCGCGATCTATGCCTTTGCCCGGAAGCTAAGCTACAGTCTGCCCTTCAGTGGGACCCAGCGCCGCCCCCCACCTGACACGGGGGACAGCCCTGTCATTCGCTCTTAAATGGACGAAGACTTGTGGCTGTCCTCCTCACGTGGAGAGAACTCCGAATGACACTCCGATGTGATAGGACATACTTACCTCCACTCCGCCGGAGACAGAGGCGACGTGGGGGCACGACTGCCCGTCAATCGGACGTGACCGGCAACAGGCCGGTCACAGACTAGTCACACCCTGATTTGACGTGGGTCAGTGGTGCGGCGCCGCACGTCCGCCCTTACCGCATTAAACACGGTGAGGGACGGTTGGGGCGCCGCGCATTGATGGCTGCTCAGCCTGTGTTCCCTCCCCTCTCGCTCCCCCCGCCACATGGTAGCTGGGCGAGGGCCTCGGGACAGGGCAGCGCGAAGGCCCGAGGGACATGACGTGGTACCCCAGGGTCCCCCGGCCGCTTCCGCGACTCGCGAGGTGTGGGGGTAGGGCCAGGCTGTAGAGCCACGTGTGAGGATGGAAAGAGAACTCCCCCTCACTCTGCATACCCCCGGGCCCATATCTCCGACAGCGGGCTACCTTCCTAGTTTGATCATAGTAGGTGGAATCTTACACCCACGACTATTTGTAAAATGAAAACACCAAATGAATATCAGTACCCGAAAAGCACGCAATGCTTATGTCACCGATAATTAATTAATTAGCTTGTGGTAAGCCTCTGCAAGCAATTTTTTTTTTAATAAATTTCTTCTGTAAGCCTTACGTGCATGCATGAGTGAAACACACTCTTGGGACATCGATGCATCAGCTTGACATCGATATTGGTCACATTTTCAAACAAGCAAAGCCAATTCAAACCTTGAGATATAAGGAAAATAACGAAAACGAGCGTGACATGCATATATAATAGACTGGCCATCCTTTCTTTAATCCGGCGATGAGATTGATGATTCGTTATGCAACAATTTTCAAGTATTCCGTTAACCTTTCGATTCCTGCCAAATCTGCCGTGCAATATTATATTCTGATGTAGAATCTTTACTTGTCAAGAATTTAATATTGAAAAATGGGAGAGGCCACGGCCCACGGATTAATTTGTCTGGGTTTTGTCAGTTTATTTTTAATAACAATTATAGGACCAAAACTTACTGACAAATTCGACTTGTGTACATAATATATAGTCATTCAAAACTTTGACTATTTCTGTTTTAGAAAAAGGTTTACTACTTTTGGTAAAAAAATAATCTTGATTAAAAATGCATTATAAATCTCTTATCTAAAACCGCTGGCAAATAAATATACATGCACGTAGATTTTCTTTTTCAAAACCGTGTAGTACATATAATTCAACTTAATTAGTTCTTGTTTGGTACTAGTTTTTCATAAAAGGTTGTAGCTCATTTTAAATGTTAGAATAATTTTAGGGTTTCTTTCACCATTTTAATCCCCTAGCCTTATTTTCATGATTACTAAGAAAACAACTTAAAAACTCTATCTAAGATTATTTGTAAAATTCACATTTCAAAATTTTGAATTTTTTTTAGAAAAAACCAATGTCAACCGAAGATTAATTCTCTCAGTGCAGTGCAGGATAGGTCAAATTGATGGTCAACCATACGGTAGAGAGATACATATGCTTGTTGACTTCAAATACTTGACACAGGATTTTAATCCTATATTTTTTCTTATTCCTTTAGTTTCATGTTTCCGCGTACTAAAATTAATTTACTAAAATTGCTGTCAGCGTTGGTAATGTCGCACTAAAAATATTGCAAATCTTAGGTCACTTATAGCTATCTACCTTTGTCTTATTAGAAAAATAAAATCTATCTGAAGCTTGTCGATTAGTGTGTGAAAGCATGCATTTCTTAAGTAAGCCATGCATGCATGGCTAAGTAAAACGTAAGTAAGCATCAAGCTCTTGAGACACTGATGCATCATCTCGACGTCAAATCGGTCGCATTTTCAAATAAGCAAGCAAACGATATATATTCAAAACTTGAGACATAAGTAAAATAACGAAATGAAAATGAGTGTGTGACGCGTGCGTGTAGTAAAGAGAGTAGATATTGATGGTTCGTTATATATGGAACAAGATTGTTCCGTTAGCCTTTCAATTCGTGACGTCAAATCTGCAGAGAAATACTCCCTCCTTCCCTAAATGTTTGACGCCGTTGACTTTTTTAAACATGTTTGACCATTCGTCTTATTCAAAAACTTTTGTGAAACGTGTAAAACTATATGTATACATAAAAATATATTTAACAATAAATCAAATGATAGGAAAAGAATTAATAATTACTTAAATTTTTTGAATAAGACGAATGGTCAAACATTTTTTAAAAAGTCAACGGTGTCAAATATTTTGGGATGGAGGGAGTATGATATTGATATGATGTGTTAGTAGAATCTTTTGCCTTTGCCATAAAATTTATATAATATAAATGGGAGAGAGCATCCATATGGTTTTTGTTAATTTAATCATTCTAAACTTGCCAGAGATTTGATTGATTCCGCACATAGCTAGATATGTAGTCCTTGTACAATTTGAAAAGGATCGGACTGAAACTTTAAGCCAATTAAGCTGAAATATAATCTGCCTACAAAATTAATACTGGTATATATCTGAATTTCAGTTGGTAAATTTACAGAGTGCAAATCAAACATCAACTCGAAGGACTAAAATTAGACCTAATTTTCCCTTGAAAACTAACATACATAGCACCAATTCGATCATTCCTTTGTTTTAAAACAAGAAGGACAGGCTGATCAGCAACAAGTTTTTTTTTTTTTTTTTTTTTTTTTTTTTTTGCGGGGAAGCAACAAGCTTTTCTGAAGTTGAAATATTCAGTAAAGTACTACTCCAGCTAGTAATAGCGTTCACAAATTGTCGAATTCCATACAGATTGCAGAAAATATAGCATTACAACTTAATTAAGTGAATAAATCAATTGGCACACACAAACACACATGTAGCATATGTGAATATAAATCCAAATAAGCTAGAATTGAAAAAAGATGTGCCATTCCAATCATGGGCTAAGCACGCCAACAGGATCAGTCTGTTGTCTTGGCAATGTTAAGGTTGTTAAAACTGTCATCCTCAAGCTTATTGGATCATCGTCTTCTCTCTCAAGCTCTCCTCCATAGCCATAGCCAGCAGCCACCATGAAGCTTCTTCAAATTAATCAACTCTCTAGCTTCTTCTTCCCTCTCGTCGCCGGCCGACGACGACGGCGATCGATCGACGAGGTGCCCTGATGACCTAATAACAAACTCCTGAGACCGATGGATCGATCGAGACAGAGGCGACCTACTGAATATTTTCTTGGAGCTAAGCTAGGTGACGATGGACTGACGACGACATGGATGGACAGTGTGAAGCTTCAGTCTCACCTCTCTGAAAGTTGAGAGATTGGGAAGGGAAGGAGAGACGATCGATCGATATATGGAGTTTGTTAGGCGTGTTTCCTCTGACGGCAACGTCTCATCAGATGGTTGGTAGTAACACCACCAACATCAACACCCACACCCACACGCTTGCATGCTTGAATTATTCAGCATATGCATGAATTAGCTAGTATACTATCTATCCAGTAGCATATTCGATTCTAGCCAGGTTCTATTATATCATTTTGCCTATTTCTGTCCAGGGGGCACTGATATAACCGAGATTTTTGAAATTAACTTCGATCAGAAATAATTCAAAAGTTTTGAATAAAATTTGAACAAATTTGAATAAAATTTATTTTCTAAATGCACAAAATATTCGAAAAGTTCTTAAGATTTCAGGAGAAATATTTTCGATAGACCCGAAATTTCTGAAATTTTGGAATTGGCATTGTGCTTCTCGGAATTTCGAACCTTGATTATACAGTACAGTAGGTACACTACAACACTGCATTCTGATGGGTGATGATATTAACTTGATTAATTCTAGCTGATTAGCTAGCTTGGTTATGCTAATCAAGTAATCAAAAGTGCAATGTGGAATTAATGGGGATGGCTGGTGAAGTGGCAGATTAGGGCTGAAAGCTACCTTGCATAGCAGCATATCACACAGCGTGTGTGCATGCACTTGGACGATGCTGGTTAATTAATTAGCTAGAGGTAGTAGCAAGCAAGTACTAGTAGTAGTACTGGTGCTTAATTGCATTGGCATTGTGCTGGCTCTATAAATAGGTGCAACTATTGGTTGCTTAAGTGTGATCCTATCATTCCTCACCTGCATTCATTCAGAGAATTCTCTGAAGACTGTTGGAATCTGAATACAGGTAGCTAGCTAGAGAGAGTTATGGAAAAGACAAGGAAGGCCACCTCCCCTAAGGTAGGAAAATTGGAAGCAATTTAACATGCATTATGCTTATCAATCATCCTGTGCATGCATGTCAGCTAGCTTACTTCATAGAGCATTAGAGCTTATAGTTCATCTGATCAGAACTAGTTGTCTGGGAGGTTAATTATGCATGTGTGTTCAAGAACTCAGCCAGCTAATAACCCGTTCTAGGGACTCGATCATCAAGTGCATGAATGCATGGTGTGCATGCTTGAGGTTCATATGGTTAATTAAGATTTCTCAGCAAGATTAATTGTTGATGAAAAAGGCAAGCAAATTAAACATATATATGATCTTTTGGTGTGTGTTGCGTTGCTGTTCACAAGTGGATGTATGTGACCCTGCGTCTGCTGTTCATTTTAGTTACATATGCCTAGTTGTTATTTTGTATGGCAGTTACTTTCAAGTTAGTTAAAGGCTTTCTAAACAAGCCCTATGTATATATATTTCTGTGTTAGCTTAGGCATCATTTTCTTTACCTTTTGTACAAATTTCCAAGTGGTCAAAGCAATCTTAACTCTTCCTTGCTACTAGCTCTTTCGCACCTGACTTTATTAGAAGCTTATATTATAAAAAATTTCTCCTTCCTTTCTCGAGCTGGCGTCTGCAAAAATACCGATTTTTACAAGCACATGAGTCTAGTAGGGTGCTCCACCCGCATGCAAAAAGCAAATTTGGTCGTCTATAAAAACCTTTTGTATAGTAGTGTGGTTTTAATTATTTTTATAATTCGCAAAGTTGTTTTTAACTTGGACTGTTCATTTGGTGTTTTCACTAGTTAATACAGTCTTTTTTTTCTTCAGAGCTCAATGACTAGTAGCACAGGGCCCAAGAGCCCAGTAAGGAATGGAGGTTCTCCTCCTCATAAGAAGAGCACTTCGGAGGTAATTAAATTAATTTCTACCATGTGCACAATATATTGCCCTACACTTCGATCGATCGATATATTGATATTTCTACAAACAATTCTCACATTATGGTTTCTACGTGTTTAAAAACCATAAACAATTTTTAAGACAATGACCCTCCATTTTGTTTTTTAATATATTTATATATATACAGCGGGAGATTCTTCACCTGTTACAGTATAAAAATGAGTACTTGTCGAGATGCTGTAAATGTCAGAGTTTTCAGTTAATTGTTATACACACACGTCATGGGTACTTGTCCTTTTCAAGAGCAAACGAACATGCATGTATCAAAAATAGTCAAATTAGTATTATATATGTCAATGATATATATGAAAAGATATGTATATCGAGTTAGTTATGGTCCTTTTCTTAATATGCATTAGTTGAAAAGAAAAATAATTACTTAATTTTTAAGGTGGAACTTATCATCAACATGATTATATTTCCATGAAAAACCAAAAGAGGTAGCAGGTCAAATAAGGTTGCAACATCATATCTAATTCTGTTATTGTCCTTTTCCGTGCATGGATGTTTCTCAAGCAATTCATAATCATCATCGTCGACATTAGTCACTTCCTTCTCAGATATCGGCCCAATCATGATCGTCTAGTTGCTATTACCGTCTAATTTTATTTTATATGCAACTAATCCTTTAATTAATTAAAAACGAAGAGTACAGGCGGATTTCCTTTGATGCTCACACGTGAGATATATACATATAACTACAAAAAGAATATCTAAACGATTCTTAATTTCCTCTCTGAACGATGCTTGAAATTTTGTCTCAAAACATTAAAAAAATAATTTACCTAAAAAATGGTAAAATTTTGTAGTTCCGAGGACGGAAAAATGAATCACAAATCTTGCGAAAGGGTGGTCAAGACTCGATAACTCTGGATGAAAGCAAACGCCGTTCTCCAACTTCACAAACATCGCCCAAGGTTCATTACAAATTTATTTGACATTTACTCCAATATATAATTTAATATCATGATCAAATTAAATATCCACGATTGATCAACTTAATTACAATATATATTAATTTTGATCTTCAGAGATCATCACCAAAACACGAGCAACCACTGAGCTACTTCAGGCTTCACACTGAGGAGAGAGCAATAAAGCGAGCTGGTTTCAACTATCAGGTTAATTATAAAGATAACCAAATTGATTAATACCACATTTTTAGTGTCCAAACATACACATTATGTCCTTAGATAACAAAATTAATTTTGAGAATATACATGTGTGTGTTTTGGCAGGTTGCAAGCAAGATAAATACCAATGAAATTATTCGCAGATTCGAGGAGAAGTTATCAAAGGTACAGTGAAAGATTATTATTCCTTCAAACATTAATTGTTTGTTTATTAATTAAACTTTTAGATTATCCTTAACAAAGAGGGGTTAATTATTAATATAATTAATTTTTTTTCTGGATGCCAAAATTACTGCTCATATATAGGTGATAGAGGAGCGCGAGATCAAGATGATGAGGAAGGAGATGGTTCACAAGGCCCAACTCATGCCAGCGTTTGACAAGCCATTTCACCCACAAAGGCAAATTATTACATCAACTTATCATTAATCCAGATATCATTGAAGTGATTATTTAAGATATCAATTGGTTCACCAAATCTTAGTACAGAAGTGTAGGCCTCACTCCTGTGTGTATAACAGAATATATAATGCAAATATTAATTATTATTACTGACAACATATATATATATATATATACAGCCGGGTGATAAGCGTAGTAAAAACTCTTTTAAAAAAGTACGCAGTAAAAGGATTGGAGAAGGATGAAACAAAACTTGATGATGAGTTGCTAGCTGGACTTTTGGAAGATGCATTACAAAACTTGGAATGATGAATAAACTGTGCATGAATGCCTTTTTTGGGATGCATTGTACCCGTAGTTGATATATAGATTTAGGTAGTACAGATTCATATATCAATAATTAGGTACAGCCTAACAAATTATTTAATGATATTTAAGGAAAGGAATATGGACATGAATTAAATTAATACTAATAAACAGTGAGGATGGTTGGTTTTAATGAACTAGTAGGTTGTTTATTAAGTCTAGCTAAAGCCATCCTTAAATTACAAAAGCATTTGCTAATTAAACAAGCTGGCCGTTTAAAACTAAATTGGAACCCATGCATGTGCATGCTAATAAAGCATAATCCAACAACCTAATAAAAACTTAGAACATACTGTAACTTCAATCATATATGATTCTAAAAAATAATTATAACACCAATTAATAATTATATCCATTTGTATAACAAATTAATTATGTGATATTGACAGGTCGACGAGGCCCCTGACCGTTCCAAAGGAGCCCAGCTTCCTGAGGCTGAAATGCTGCATTGGAGGAGAGTTTCATCGCCATTTTTGCTACAATGCCAAGGCCATCAAATAATATTAATACACACTAATAGAGGGGAATTATTGCACATATATACCATCACCCTCTCCATGAACAAACTATTTTTTGCCGGTCGTGTTCATCAGTTAATCCATCTCTATTAAGTACAGTGTCGTTTGTCTCACATGTACCAAAACCGTTGTTTTTAATTTCTTTTGCCTTTCTGCACGAATCTTCACGTAGGTATAGTAGCATAGAGAACGAAATGGCTCCACATATGTAAATCCTTTTTATTTTTTCCTTTCGCTTTCACTTCTTTGTTGCCTTTGCTTTTTGTTCTCTCTCTTTTTTCCCCTTTCTTCACTGAAGACTAGGAGAGATATATGTGCGTCATCCATGTATATGTCCCTGATCTGGTGGTAACAATGATAATAAAGCTTTGCATTGTGACACATATAGTACCATGAGTACATGTTGTTTTGCTCCAGGAAAGAATCATGCAAGCTGAGTGCAAATGCATGCCTGCCTTGTTCACATCGATATATGTAAATCTATGTTCTCTAAGCTCTAGCTATGCATGCCACTGTTTGCAGACACACATGCATGCAGGTCGCTCTCATGGAGGAAAGCCTATGAACCCTAGCTTAGATCTGAATCGAAAACGCGCGTTGGGGGTGACCGGAATGATGAAGGTTTATTTGTAGCACGACACGCTGGGGACGAAGACACGATCACCATTGTCATGCTACAGCCTCATCGTTTGGCTTTTGCTTCAAGATTCATGGTTGCCCTCGTCCTCTTTCTATCCTTTATTATATTGATCGTCCTGCATCTCTCTGTGCCCTTGACCTTCATGTTCGATCCAAATTTCACTTTAAAAGGTGGTAATTTCACCTCAAATTCAACATTTTAATGATCAGGTCTCACTTGAAATATTAGAATTTACTAGTGTCAATCCTACTACTACTACCACTAATCTTTCTTCTTCTTGTTCTTTGAAATATATGAATGACAACACGTCAAATTCGAAATCAGGGACTTTCAACTTGACACCTTCCATCTGAAATTCAATTGATCAATCTCTCCACTCAAAAGTGATATAGAGAAAATGGAAAAACCATAAATCAAACATTGCAAGGCAGATATAGCAACCTGGATGGAATATATTATATCTCTGTATGTGTGATGTGTTAGTGCCAAATATATTTGATGTAAAGGGGTAGGCTAGCTTGGATGGATGGACTATTATTAGGTAGGCGTGCCACGTCGCTATCAGGTTAAAAGCTTGTTATTCCAAATGTACGCAGCGGTTGAGACATGGTGACAATGACAGCGAAATTAATTAATTAACTCCAAATATATATACACTCTAGCTATCTTAGTTACCAACAAGCTTAACATGTAAGTAGCCATCATGCATCATGCACGCACGCGCATGCACAAGTCAAAAACAGGTTGCTCTTGTACATATACGTTATATTTAATTTAATTATTAGTACGGTTAAATTAAGTATATAGATGGCAGTTTATCCATATATATGTGTAGGGGAATGCTAATTGGTATCCCGTTCGAGTGGGAGATATCTTAATATCAGGTGATATCTCTTAGATATCATATATCCCATCCGAACGGGGTATCTCAGTCCATACCTATATCAGGTATCATGCAATATATATCTTAAACGTATTATTTCGTCTGAACGGGATACTTTTCTATAGCATTTTCCTATGTTTATCCAGTACTCATTTTCGCTTTCATTGATCGGTCAAGAATTAACATGCTGTTCGATCGATGTATCAGACGTCAAACTATATGCATGTATGCTCTTTTAAATATTTAGATATGACGATAAGAGTTATTTTATAGATTTATTTGAAAAGTACGTTTATAGTATAATGGTTTATTACGGTGTTTAATTTATTATGAATATATTCTAATAAAATATATCAGTCAAATTAAGTTATATTTCAACGTAGGCATATGCTCTAGGTAAATTATTTGATGGATTTAGGTATAAACGATATCAACGCATGAAGGATGATCATGTATATTAGTATATATATTATCTGATGGGCTAATAAGTGTCTAACCAATTAATCGTCCTATTAATCATGGCCCATGTATGGCCCAAGATGTTTTCATAAACAACATATTATTACTCTATTGACATATGTATATTTAGGTCTACATATGTATGTGCTGTCTCGATCGGTAACACATGATCGAGTTTTTCTTAGATATATACGGAATATAGATTGAGTGAAATTTAACACTAAATGTGCAACAAGAAAATTAAATTAAAGTGCAAGTATGCATGAATCATACATACATATTTTCATGATCATATCCGATCAAAATAACCTAGCTAGATCGAGTTTTGAAAAAGGGCCAAATATTAGCACATTTCAAGTTGTGCGCACAAACGTTGATTTCGAAGCACTACATGTGCTAGCTAGATGACTTGTTGGCTGTGTGTCCATGGGCAGAGGCCGGAGGTCGATCAGGAGGACATGTGCTATAGCTAGCTTTGCAACATCCAGACGTACACAGCCAGCTCTTGCAAGAAAAAAAAAATCAAGAATGAATTCGAGATATGTGTGTGGGCGCGTGTTTTTTTGCGAGATGCGTGTGAGAGGAGGTAAAGGTGCCTGCAGCATCGGCATGGCTGCATGCTGCAAGAAGCTTGGTACGGGGGGCACACATAGTAACAGTGATGTTGAGTTCATCTTCTCCATGCATCCATCTCTCTGCAGCATGCAAATGATCTCACTACTGTATACATGCTGCCTAGCTATCTTTCCCTTTCAGAGTTTCATCTTCTTTCTCTCTTCCATCATCCATCCTAGACTCTTCTTACCTCTACACATGAAGCTCTATGGACAGGGTTACAATTAGACAGAGGGAGAGAGAGACTGAGCATGGACATGCAGCTAGCCATAATAACTTTGCAAGCTTTTTTCCGGTGCATTATCTTACATGCATGCAGCATGTAGAGAGATAGGGAGGACGATCACTTTTGCCGCGTCTAGGGTTTCCTTCTTACCGTGCGGTTACCGCTAGATCGTATGGTTCATGATGAGGGTATAGTAATTTGACCAAGTTCAAGAGAGTTTTAAAGTTTTGGTCGGTAACCAATTGAGCTTATCATGGGAGAGGATAATATTATCCTCTCCAAATGGTAAGGGAAACCTCTTATAATAGATGGCCACATATGTCAAGTGTGGTCCAAAGATTATATTTTTTTCCCTATGTAAAATTACATCTTGTTTCCGAATATGCTATCATCGTGCGGGTCATATACAGTACATACCTGACGGATCAATACTACTATTACACTTTTACACTAGGAAAAAGTCATGCCCACACGCCGTGTTCGGCATGGCAACCAAATGTTGTCACACCAGTGTTAGCATGGTGAGTAACAACCCCACTAACTTTTGTGGCGAGGCTAGATTAAATGACTATTTCTAAAATAAAGTATGAGAAAATTTAATTTTAAGAAAAAAAAATAAATGAAGAATCTAGGCTGCCCATATTTCAAATTAATTGGAAGATTAACTTAAAAATGGTAACAGTTAAGAAATTAGCAATTAATTAAGTGAACTAATGATAAGTGTCGGTCAATACAGTTCAAAACTTCACTTGGTGCATGCGGAAAGCTTTAATTCGGCAAGGTAAAAGAAAGTCCAGTGTTTCTGTCACTTTTGGAGACTCTACTGGCTACCCCTTTCAGTGACTTGCGTTGCTGTGTGACCTACAAGTTTTTCCTTCAAAAATTTCGTCATTCTCCTCCAGCTGAATACTGAACTATAAGTATTTTAAAAGTTTTAGCTATATTTAGTCATACTCATACGAATATAAACATCATATATATATATATATATATATATATATATATATATATATAATGTCAATAGTTATATATATAAAGGAAAATTTTGCTACAGGACATCCAAAATTTGTGTAATTTGCTGATAGGCATCGAAAAAAAAATATCACGGCTGAAAGATATCCTGAAAAACTGGTAATTTGCTAGAGGATCACTGGTGGAGAAAGGGGCTTTACTCCCGGTTCATAACCCCCCTGTAGTCCCGGTTTTTAAACCGGTACTACCAATCTGGGACTAAAGATAGAGGTGAAAAAACCGGGAGTAAAAAATCCATCTTACCAACCAGGACTAAAGATAGAGCCTTTTTAGTCCTGGTTGGTGTTACCAACCGGGACTAAAGATAGAGCTAGCCTAGCTAGATCGGTTGCTTTATTATTATTATTTTTTCTTCATTGTGTTTTTAATATATTGATTTCACTCCATCCCCATCCCAAAATCCCAAATAAATTATCTCCAAATCCTCAAATCCCCAAATCGGCCATATTCAAATAGATCACAAAATCTTAAAACAAAATTACATCACAACTTCTACAAAATTCAACACAAATACATCACATATTCACGGACATCACACACAAATCAAATACACAGATCCGAATCACAAATTCTTCAAAAAAAAAAGAAAAATAACACAGGCTGCCGGCCACTGGCGCGCTGGCCGCCGCGAGGCCCCGCGGTCCACCGCCCGGGCCTCCGCCCCGCCGCGTCGCGCCACCGCGAGGCCGCTCGGGCCTCCCCCCTCCGCCGCGAGGCGCCGCCCGGGCCTCCGCCCCGTCGCGCCGCGAGGCCGCCGGCCGCCCGATCTATCAGTGGGATGACGGGGAGGGAAGGAGAGGAGTTAGAGGAGAGAAGTTAGAGAGGAGGAAGAGGAAGGGATGATGGGGGAGGGAAGGAGAGGAGTTAGAGGAGAGGAGGAGGAAGAGGAAGAGATAGGATGAAGAGATAAGGTCAGTGGAGGAAGATGTGAAGAGATAAGGCTGCCTGTCTCCTCCTCCTCCTCGATCTCGCAGATGGCAGATGCCCCGTACTCTCCGCCACGATCTTTT